ACTTTATTGTCATATAAGTAATTGACCCACCAAAAGTACATATCTGTTACAAATTCATAAGTGTCTTATGTAAGCCATGCAAAAAGGGCTGATTTGCAATGATATAATGAGTTGAGGGGTTAATTTGTGTCTGTTTTTAGTTGAGGGAATGATCTGTTACTATGTACTTAGTATAGGGGCTGATTTACCTTTTTTTTTTTTAATCTGAACAGTGTAATTTCAGTACACCAGTCAGGGTGCCAAAATTTGATCAAAATAAATTTTAAACTTATAGCATTTTGATTTTATCAAAAAATTGATATGTACCGAACATACATCGGTACAAAATGAAATTGACTACTTTGGTGTGTACACCCCCTTCGGATTAATATGATCTTGTAATTTGTGCTCGGGCGTGTGGAATTGCAAGAATCTATGATCAAAGAAGATAAGGGATTACATTTCACTTATATTGCTTAGATTATTTTCACTAAAGAAAAAAAGGATAAAGTTAACGTCCTAGGTTTATAATTGATTATATTTGCATATAATCAATTACATTTCAATATACTTGTTTTAAAGTAAAACATAATTAATTATTTTTTGTTTTGATTTTTGTGTCACTATTTTTGATTTCCTTTGCCAAACTATATGAACAATGGCTCAGGACTACCCTATAAAAATCAAGATGGTTGAGTTTAGTTGGTGTAAACTATAAAGCCCTAATTCAGGTGTTGATCGGAAATGACTTAGATTTGAATCCCATTTTTGAGAAATTGTTTTCTTCTCTCTCTCTTTATTTTATTTTATTTTATTTTCTTTCATGTTGAACTTTTGTTTTGTATTGAGATTAGTTTTAAATATGGATGGTAATGGGGCTCGCAGCACCAGGGAGAGGTCCTACATATCCCTGTCCCAGCCAATAGTAGAGTGGGGATTTTCATGGGGATTTTTTTGATGAGGGAAAAATTTTTGACAAAGGAAAAATTTTGCTCCCCGTCTTGTTTTTGACTTGGAATTGAATTCTCACTTCTTGCCAAGTAATATTAAGAATTAAATATTTTTTACTAATCTAAAAAAATATAATTAACTATTTTTTTTTATTTTCAATTAAATTTAATTATTTTTATTATTTCACATTAAAATGCTAAATCAATTTGGTTTAATTTTTTTAAAGAGTTTTAAAAGTTAATTTTGATTAAAAATACGTAATGATTATGAGCTGAGATTTACTATTTAGGTTTAACATGTATTTTTTATCTTTTTAAAAAAAATTTTGAGATCCATGTGGAGCTCCAAAGAACGGAAGAAACTCTTTATTAAATTTCACAAGAAAAAAAAAAAAAGCCCTTATTCCCACAACAGGATCCCTCTGAAGCCCTACCAAAAAAGGGGAAAAATTGTCATCCTTACTTTTCAGGCTGGAATTGGTTTCGGACCCATTTCTAATACGGAAAGGCAAACACCCATAAAAGACCTTAGCCTATCATTTACTAAAAGTGAATGTGTTATACCAACTTAAATGTAGCCCAACAACCTGTAAAATCCAAGGACTTCATTTTCTAAAGCTAGAGGCCGAAAAAACTACCTAAACCAGCTAACCAAGCCCACAAAGTGTCTTCCATGTTTCCACCCTGTTTTGATGTTCTTTCTCTTCAACTAATTCTGCCATTTTCTTTTTCTTAATTATTTTAAAAATCTAATTCTCTGCAATTTTCAGATAGAAAACTGCAATAGTTTGAAATTAAATTTGAGATTTATGTTTTTCGGATGAAACTGAAAAATAAAATTACAATTTGAGTCCCCAAATTATTAAATATTATTAGTAAAATAATTTTAAAAAAACATTTCATTAAATATATTTAGTAAAACACTTTTTGGAGTTTCCTAACTACAAATTGAAAAGATGTTTCTCCATACAGTTCTGGGATTTCGGTTCAAACAACAAAGATTGTTACTAGTAATAGAAGTTCAACCTACAGCAAATATCAAAAGGATTATTTGCTATTTGTAGATTCCAAAAATTTTAAACCCTTAATTTAAATTTTAAAAATTAAAAATATATTGTGCAGATCGGTGTGTGGAACTGCCAGAAAGGATACTCAGTTGCAAAATTACTCAACAATGGAATGAATTCCACTTCCTTTCTCGGACCCTCCAATCAAACCCTCCCTCCGCAGCTTCTCCTCCTTCGATTTTCTACAGAAAATCACCCACGAATTCACTTCCATCGCTATACAGATTCCGATCAACGTCGACAGGCACAGACAATACCCCAACTTCGCTAATGATCTCCCTTCCCCGATTACTTCAAACCCTTGAAAGACATTCACGACGCCAAGCACTACGCAGGAGTACCCAACAAAATGGTGATACGATTTCCAGTATTTCCGGAATTTGTTCGTCGTCTTTGGTCGGAAAAGCAGGGCCAGGGTCTGAAGTGCCCCCAAACAGAACGCTGCAAACCCGAGCTTTCTGTGGAGTCCGTACACGACGCCAGGGGAGAGCTCACCCAGTCTGATTCCGATTGCGAACCCCACGGTCCCGAGGAAGAATGCGGATAATTGAATTCCGGAATGAATGTAGAACCATGTGGGTCCTAGGGATTGCACATGGCGGAGGTAGCGCGCGGTGACGGCACCGATTGGGAGTAAGATTCCCCAGGAGAAGGCGTTTAGAATGCCGTGAACGATTTTGAGTGATCTGGCGTTGCTGTGCTGGGCTGCGGCGGAGCCTGAAAGAACGTCAAACGTGGTGATGGAGGAGAGGTCGTTGGAGGTGGTGGGGTGGATGGTGGGGGAGTAACCTTGGACGTAAAGTCCGCGGTTCCACACGTGGTGGATGCGGGTCTTGTTGGGTATGAGCTTTAACGTGGCATAAATTTGAACGGTGGCGCCGTTGTGAATTGTAGCCATTTTACCGCCATACAAGGTGGCGGAGGAAGAAATTAAATGGATATCAAGGGGGCGGGAGAGGAGAGGAGATTTTTGGAGCTTGACAGTTGGGTCTAGAATGTATGGAAGCAAGACCAATTGGCCGGAGTTAGGGTCTGGGAAGGCAACAAGTGCACGAGTTCCGGTCATTTCTGGGGAGGCTGGATTGATACCCCATCCGACCCAACCCGAGGGAGAAATGAATGTGCCAAAGAAGCAAAGGTCTAATGTGGCATTGTGGGGATGGAAGGTCCATGCTATAGAGGCTTGTTGGGTGGGGAGAGTGATGCATTTTTGGAAGGTCTTGATGGCAGTGACGGTGGTGCAATGGGTGGAAACCACCGTGTCTAAGTGGGAAGAGAAGAGGAAGAAGAAGAAGGGGAGGATGAAGGGGAGGATCATGGTGGTGGACGAAAGACAGTTGAGACTTGAAATGGAATGGAGATGGTATATACATTTAATGATGCTATGTTTGCAATGTAACAATGCAAATGATGGGTCTTGATAACAAAATGTAAAGACGTTTGTTCTGTTTCTGTACTTTGCTTCTAAGCAAAGACTATTAAATGTTAGTTTGGTAGTTGTCCGCAGGAAAAGGACAGATGAGACTTGAAATTGAATGATAAATGATCATATTTTAGGTCTAGGAAATAGTGACAGTGATGAACTTGTACACATTCTGATATTGAATAATTTGATCGTAATGTCATGCATGATCCTGCCATGGTTATTGCCAAGAAAAAAAAAAACTTGAATACATTTTGATATTGAATAATTTGATCCTGATGTCATGATTCAATAATGGTTATAGTTACACAAAAATTAAATTTATCCAAAAATAAGAGATTAATGCGTATTAATCTTTACTTTTTAAAAAAATTAGCCTTTTAATTTATATTTAGAAATTAAATTTTTAATTCAAAAGTCAAAATTTTAATTAGTTCGGTAAAATTTAAATTTTAATATTTAATAAAATAAGTTTTTAAATTTTAAATTAAGTTTTAATTAAATAAAATGATTATATTAGGATTTTGTTTTATTTTTTTGAGTCGGGATTGATATATTTTTTTTTTCAAAAATAATGTAATTACATTTGACTTGATTTTTTTTTTTTTATATTGGTTGCATAAGGAAAAGTCATTATTTATCATTTTTTATTTCACTCCACTTATATATCATACAATTTAAATTTAGAATCTTTTACTTTTAATGAAAAAAATTTTCTATTGAACTATTTAAATTATTCGCATTTGATTTAATTTTTAGAAATAATTAATAGTTTTATTGCTTATTGATAAAATTGTTAATATTTATTATTTAATAATTTAAAATTAATTTATAAATTGATATTTTTAAATATTTTTACATTTATAGATTAATAATGACAAAAAAATTATAAATTAATCAAATCAAATAAACTAAATATATTTATAATATTTTATATGATCATAACAATTCTTTATATGACCATAATAATTTTTTATATGACCAAAACATCGCCTCCATGATACATGCCATGTTTTTTAGCGGAGATTGTTGGTAGAGAATTTGTTAATTGTTGTTTTTGCTTGGATTTCAGACAAAGCAATGAATTGCAAAGCTCTCTCTGACAAGGAAATAAATTACAAGTTCATTTTTTTGGCTTTAAATTACAGGTTCATTGGCTTCATCATAATTTACCTTCAAAGTGTGCTCTTATCGATTTTGGTGTTTACTATTTTTATTTAAAAAATGTTTTGCACAGTGAACACCAGAGTCCTTTACTTATCACAAAAATTTTCCTAATGTTAGTTGATGATGGATTATTGAGTATTTATATGCTTAGATTACCTTGGAAGGAACAATCATTACGACAAATCTCACTCCAATTATTATTAATGAACACATTAGCAAAGGTGCACTTGAGTAGTGCTTGCATGGGAAGGATTG